TGTGAGTTTGAAGAGTCGGCCACGCGGCGCTGCGGTAACTGTGATAAGCTTCACCAGATTTCTGTTCTCAAAAAAAATATTGCAGCATGTTTGTATACATTCTTTGTATCAAAGCATGAATATAAAATTAAAATTTATTAATACTTTATTGGAGGGAATGGCAAAGTTAGCTCAGTCTTCTGTGTGGTTGGTTTTGATAAGATGAAATAACGTGATAAGACGGGTGAGTTGCTCGTGTTTACGTTTGGATTGTAGATGCTGCAGCCAGCATCAGAAAACTGAACTGGTGAGCTGTGCAGTCTGTACTGCCTAGGAAAATTTATTTTTTTTAGTGTTTCTTCACTACCTATAGAGGGATGGTGACTTTCAACTTAAATATAAGGCAATATTCAAAGGTCAAGGCTTATATTTATTGAGTGAAGGTATTTTTGTATGAAACGTTAGGTGTTTTTCAGGTTGTTTTTGTGCAAACTCTAGTTTAAGCTTCATTGAAACAAAAGTTCACTGTGTTTGTTCATGCAGCTCTTTAAGACTCTTGTTTTTATACAGTGTAGAGAGATTAACGTTTGAACTTCAGCTTCTAATTGTAGGGGTTTGTTTTTCTCAGATATAGATGACTTAAAATGTGCCCCATTTGGAAGCTGTAACAGTGGGTCTGCAGTCAGCAGCCTGGCAAGCTATGACTGGTCCGACAAAGAAGACATTCACCAGGGCAAGAAGCTTTCCTCCTTTGTCCAGTCTTCAGGAAGTGGATCCTCTGCAGCTACCTCTGTTCTTCAGAAGAAGGAGACCTTGTTTGGCAGTTCAGAAAACATTACCATGACAACAGTTTCCAAAGTGACAACCTTTTCTAGTGAGGATGCTTTACAGGATGTTTCCTTTGCAGCCTTTGCAAACTTTAAAGACTCTGGACCAACATCCAGTGGTCCAAGTGACGATGACATCGGAGACTTTGGTGATTTTGCAAGACCTTCATCAGAAGCCCAGGATGCAGCAGCAGCAGCTGACACAAACCCAGAGGCAGATTTCCTTGCTGGTGGTATCTCCTCTGAACTGCGAAGGGAGTCCACAGATGACTTTGGAGAATTCCAAAGTGAAAAGCCAAAAATCAGCAAGTTTGACTTCTTGGTGGCAACTTCCCAAGGCAAGGTGAAATCTAGTGAAGAGATGATCAAGAGTGAGCTGGCTACTTTTGACCTGTCTGTTCAAGGTAAGGCTGCTCAGGGTGGAAGAAAACCATGATACACATGCCTTATCAAAGGCTATTTTTTTTCTCATTTAATCTTGATTTCTGAAGTGTTTGGAGCAGGTTTTTTAGAGGAAAAATAATTTAGTGCCAAAAAGTTGTAAGAATTGAGGAACTGGGGAAATTTGCACCAGCCACCAACTAAACAGTAGGCTCTGTTCTTCTGGAGTAGTAAGACATACCTTGCTACTGCTTTATTAATTTTAAATAGTCCATGCCTGTATGAGTAAAAGACTAAACTTGTTTATATTCTCACTTTGTAGGGTCTCATAAAAGGAGCTTAAGCCTGGGTGACCGAGAAATAAGTCGCTCTTCACCTTTGCCAGTTTTGGAGCAGCCATTTAGAGATCGTTCAAATACTCTAAGTGAGAAGCCTGCCTTGCCTGTCATCAGAGACAAATACAAAGACTTGACTGGGGAAGTTGAGGTAAGGAATTATCTGGGATACAAGTAAACTGGCAATGACTTTCATCAGTGGGATATCAAGGGTGTTCTGTATCCAGTTTGGGACTGTAGCTATTTGAGTTTAGGGTACAATTCTAAGGTAGCATCTGGGTAAGGTTGGAAACTTCTCCTACAGGAGGTTTCTTCTTTCCTGCCTTTAAAGTCTTGTGAAGTGGAAAAAAAAATGCTGTTACCTGAAAGTCAGAATGACTTGACCTTGCAGTCGAAGCTTGTAACTGAACTTGTAGCTGCTTCCTCCCTGGAAGTGTCCAAGGCCAGGTTGGATGGGGCTCTGAGCAACCTGGTCTGATGGGAGGTGTCTCTGCCTGTGCAGGGGGGTTGGATCTAGATAATCTTTAAGGTCCCTTCCAACCCAAACCATTCTATGATTCTATGAAATCAGTTCTGACTTAAATCTAATCCTAGTACTGGCACCGAGACCACTGACTTGGGCAAACAGCCTAACTTTTTTGGCTGGGTGGTAGTTATTTCTCTTGCTCATCTTGAGAATAGATGGTAAAGGACTCAGATTAAATTTTGCTAATCCAAATTTCTTGAAAACAGACTTGTAACAAATGTGTCAGGAGCAGGCATGTGCAATGCAAACTTTTTCCCATTCATGTATGTTCTTCTGTTTGAAACTAGTTCTAGGCCCTCAAAATCAAATCAGTTCAGAATACTTAAAGAATAGGGGGGAAAATTAGGAACAAGTATGTTAAATGTTTTCCTAACTAACTGCAAATGGTCTTTGAAAAGACCTGTCCACTTTGTGTCTTGAGGGAGGAGACAGGGCACTGTGTGCAGAAACAAGGTGCAGACTGTCCTTTTCTTTCAAACAGGAAAGTGAGAGGTATGCATATGAATGGCAGAGATGCTTGGAGAGTGCCCTGCAAGTAAGTGCTCAGTCTTCTTCAAAACCTCCTTCCTGTAGGTACCACCTCATTCAGTGTTTTAGACCATATAGGCACAGGAAGGGTGTGCATCAGCCCAAATGGATCACAGTTTTTAAACCAAAATCTGTCATGCAGCAGCTACCTCAGCTGAAGATCCTCTAGAAATCTCCCTGTCATTTATTATTAGTTTGGCTTTTGCCTAAATTCTTAAGTGTTTGTGAAGTTCCTGTGTTCTGAGTGCCCACTGAGGCACGTTGTTCAGGGCATTGATAGCAGCTGGCTCTTCTGCAGTTTTTGAGGAATAGCCTTGTTTAATGTGCTCTGCAGAGAGGAGATTCCCTTCCTGGCCGTGGGTGTCAGATGTTTCACAGCCACTTTAGTTTTCCTTAAGATTTCTTATTTGCATTTGAGTATTAGCCAAAACTGTGCCTGCTGTTATCAAACTAAATAGCAATGGATGCATCCTCTTAAAACTATGATTTGGATAATGCAAATATTTGGGGGCATATGCTAGGGCTTTAGATATTCCTCCCTTCCCCCTGATCTACTTATAGTTACAGTATGAATGTATAAAAATATATGATGAAGTATTGCAATTATTTGTTATTTAATTTGCCTCCTGGTTTCTGTAACAGTTTCTGTTGGGTACAATATTGTTCATCATAATTATTTTAAGGTAGATAACACCACCATTTTATGAAATTCATTTCCACCAGGTCATAAAGAAAGCAAATGATACCTTAAATGGAATAAGCAGTTCATCCGTTTGCACTGAAGTTATCCAGTCTGCTCAAGGCATGGAATACTTACTGGGTATGGTTTATTTTATCATGTCATTTACACTGAAAGTTCTCAGAGAAACAGATTTTTTTTAGCTTAGTCTTTGCCTGCACAGAAATAACAACCAACTCTTCTGCTAAATAAATGTAACTACTACTTTGAAATACCCATCCATGACCACCTTTTGTGTGCCATGCCTATTGTCTGTTATTTCTGAGTAAAAATTTCAGAAACCTGTGCTTGTAGTGAATTCCCTGCAATCCTCCACTGTGTTTTGTGTCAACAGGGGTTGTTGAAGTCTACAGAGTAACAAAGAGGGTTGAACTGGGTATCAAAGCAACCGCTGTTTGTAGCGAGAAACTCCAGCAGCTGCTGAAGGACATTGATAAAGTGTGGAACAACCTAATAAGCTTCATGTCGCTTGCTGCTTTAACAGTAAGAACAAAAATAAGCTATGTCTCTAGTGAAAAAAGACATAATTAGATGTTAAATGACTTTGTGGGTGTCCTGACTTTTTACAGTTTGTATTTTTCTTTTGCAAAATGGAATTGCACTTATTAATGATCTCCAGTTTAAAGCTCCCTGTAAGAAAACAGCTCCCTGTTATTTATGTGCAAACCTGATGTTATCTTACTGTCTTTGTGGTTTGGATGATATCCTGTGTGTCTATGGACCTCTCCAATAAGGGAAACTTAGTAAAATTTAAACAAGGAGTTTTTATGAAACCAGAATCATGTGGACACATCTTGTCTTCAGTATTCCTGCAATTAGTTTTAATGCTTACAATTCAGAAGAACACAATGTAGCAACAGAAGAATAGCTCAACTGTTTTCCTTTTTCCCTGGGTATGGAAGTGCCTGAGTTTCTCTTGGTTCTTGCTATAGAAAACTGAATAGAAGTGCCAGAAAAAGCTCCCTGGTTCTGAGACAGCCTGATAGGAGCTCGAGAACTTTCTATAGAACTGGTTGAGTGTTGCATGGAGAGATGGTGAGGGGCTGTCCTAGGGGTGGCCCCTAGGAGAAAGAGCACCCCATAGGAAGGTTTTGCAGAGGAGCTAGGAAAAAAAAGGCACATTGGGGCTGGGTACAGAAGGCACACAATTAGAAGGCAAAAAAAAAAAATCACCTTGCCATTAAATACCTTGCACTTTGTTGTGTATGTGTGTTGCAGGAAATGCAATGTGCAAAGTGGCTTTCTTTAACCATGGTAAACCCCATATTTTAAAGGAATCATCCACCTGTAGGTACTTGGTATCATATTGCATAATGGATCCCTTTAACTCAGTATATACCTCAGCAGTCTTTAACTCTTAGTGGATCATTCCCTGCAAAACAGGTATTATAAAAGATCAGTCCCTTTTTACAGCTGTTATACACATTTTAAGCCTCTCCACTACAAACAGTGGTGGTAAGCAGGAGTTTTTGGTGCTGTCCTGTGTTGCACAAAGTCTGTCACAATATGAAATCTATACCTTCCATATTTTACTGCTTGGCAGATGAAGTTGATAGACTGGTATTCACCTGTTTGAACTCTGCCATTGCTGATAGTAACAACTTAAAAACTTATCAGGATCCTCTCCTGATATAGGCAAGTGGATTAAAATTTAGTTCTTAAGGTTCTTTTCATTGAAAGATTACAGGGATTACCTTAAAGTCCAAAGCTTGGCCACGTGTCCTCCGAGCTGCACCGGTCCAGATGAATTTAAAACATAGTAGGAGCTGCAAATAATGACTTCACATAAACACACAGTGCCTTTGAAGTTATCTAAGAGACAGGGACTCCTGTAGCTCTCAAAATCATGCCTTTCTGCTTCTTTCCTCCACCTGGGCCACTGGGAGGTGTGGAACCTGTACCTTCTTCCCTGGGTGTTGCAGGCACGGATCTCAAATGATGCAGAAGTGCCAATTAGGCAGAGAGCAGTGTTCTAGCTCAGAGGCATGTGCTTGGAAAGGTTAATTTTATCTTTTTAAAGGATTTTGTTACAAAGTGATTTTATGCACAGCCTTGTGGTTTTTCACTGCAAATTACAGGCTGACCTTCTCATTTGCTTCACTCACACATTTGGTAAACAAATATTAGAGTGCCTTTATTAATTTGATTGATCTACTTAAAGATTAAAGGGTGGGTTGTTTTTTTTTCCCTGATTCCAATTACTCTTCAGCCATTCAGCAGGGGAACGTGATCAGCATACCTCGAGTGTGGATTAAGATTACACATGTTCTAGGATCACCCCATTCTTTTTGGTTTTTAAGCTTCTTGCATTTCTAGTCGTTGTTTTCATTTGCACTGGTATCTTCAAGCAAAACTTCCACAGTTTTATACCACCCTTATGCAAAGTTGTCGATTAGCATTTACCTTGTGGCTGAGATGTTAAGATTGTGTACTGGAAAAGTGACTATATTAATTTATTACATATTTGCAGGCTTATTCTCTCCCAGCCTTTGCCTCTCTCTTGTGTATGGCTGGTGACCTTAATTCTTCCATGATTTGGTTAACCTCAATATCCCATTTTGTAGTGCTCCAGCTTCAGAAAAACCTTCAGCAAAGGGATAACAACTGCCCTTTCAGGGAATAATAGGGAATTTAGGACAATAAACACTGCTACAGACACCACTTCAAATACAAGTGAGGGAAAGCTGCACTGGTGATGGCTCCTTCCCTTGCAGCTGCACAAATAGTTGTTGCATTCCAGTGTTTATCTTCAGCCAGTTCTTAATATTCTGCAGTTGAAACGGAGCAGCCGCCGCCTGGGCTCTTTCCTCAGAAGTTTCTTCCCCTTTTGATGTGGGAAGGTGGAACTTAAGAATCCTTTCCTTTGTAGTCTAACCCTTTTTTTTTTTTTTCTTTCAAGAGCTTGAGTGTTATAAATTAATGCTGGTGGAGATTGCATAGCAGGATTGCAAATACCTACTAATGGCTTTGATTAAATCGCACATCAGCCTATGAGAAAATGCAGTATCTCATCTGTGCCACCTTGCTGGTGGGAGGCTGTGGCTCCTGGCAGCAACCAGATCAATAGTTTTTATCATGATGTCTGAAACTTTTTCAGTCACTGAGAATGCTTAAGTTTTCTTTTCTCATTTCTTTAGCCAGATGAAAACTCACTGGATTTCTCCTCTTGTATGCTGCGTCCAGGGATTAAAAATGCCCAAGATCTTGCCTGTGGAGTGTGTCTCCTAAATGTGGATTCAAGAAGTAAAGTAAGAAGAATGGCCTGTGCTGTTAAACTCATTATTTCTGTTACAGTCTGGGCTTTTATTTAGGCCTTGGCTGTATTTAAAAAGATTTCATAGCTATAGTTTGTAACTGGAAGTGGCAAAGGCAAAATCTGACCTGTAGGTGGGACTCAGTCTATGTCCTACATTCCTTAGGCTGTGGGTTATGGCAGCTGTGGATAAAGGGATGAGTTAAATGGTTCATAATGGGGAAAAAACTGGGATACGAAGACTTTAAAAGATATATCTTTTTTTTTTTTTTTGGTTATAAAAATCTTTTAACGACTTTTCTTCACAAAGTTAATCTCTGAGGATCACCAGGAGGGGACTATTGCAATTAGCAGAGCTGGGAGGGAATCCCAGGCCATGCACAGGGTCATGCCAACCAGTTAACACCTCTTGGCAGTTTTGCTGACTTTTTGGTTTCAACATTATTTCAGAAAGAAGAGAAACCCGTGGAAGAGCTTCCTAGAAAAGTATGAATCTGTAAAAAACATATTCTTTATAGAATCATTTAGTTGAGTGTGGAAGGCTGAACTGCTAGCTGGCTTTCAGCTCTCATTCTCAATTGTACCAATCATGAATCCTTTTCTTCTAGTCATTTTTTGTGATTGTAACACTTGATCCGATCAACTAACATGCTCCAGAGCCTCCCTTCTGTCTTGTCTGCATGTTTGTATCTTGTGAAAAGCTTCTGGTTTTGTGCTACTTCTGTTGTGTGGGGAAAATTCACTGCAGTGGGTTTCTGAATCTGTATCTTCCTGTGTGTCTGTACAGAAGAGGGGGAACTGTAGGGGTTTTTTTTGCTACAAATATTGACTTTTGGCTATATGTGGTAGGCAATGGCATTTTTAGAAATCTCTGCAGGAAATCCAGGGTGTGGGGAACAGAGTTAGAATATTTTTTTAAATAGGTAGCTGTGAGGCATTGGAAAGTATCTCCTAGCAACAAACACCAAGATGTTTGAAGCCTGTTCATGGCTTCACACGCTCTGTTCAGAAGCTGCTATTGTAAAGCAGATTCAATTAACAGAAGAAAGTGGATCAAATTCAGCCTGGAATAGCACTAATACAAATAATTGCACCTGCCTAAATCATAGCAAAATTTGAACCAGTGAAATAAATGCAGTAGCTCTCACTGGCTGGAAAATGAGCTTTTCTCTGTCATGGCTGTGTAGCAGGAGTAGAAGATGTGTGAAGCAAGGTGAGTTAGTTGCCAGGTTCAGATTCAGCAGATGCTCTTCAGATGGCTCCTCTGAACCAGGGGGTGACAGGCAAAGCAGACATCAGGGGTGATGACTGGGGGGCTTTATCCACCTGCAAAGACTTTGCAGTCTAAAATACAATCTTGTTGATTGGGTGGTGTGTTCAGAGTGAGAGGGTCTGGCCATTCTGGGGTAGTACCTCTGCAGGATCCATTTTCCACTCTAGCTTCCTAATCCTGGAGCAGATGAGACTCTCACACTTGTTTCAATTCTTGTTATTTTAGGCCTTTAATTCAGAAACAGACAACTTCAAGCTGGCGTATGGAGGGCACCAGTACCATGCAAGCTGTGCAAACTTCTGGATCAACTGTGTGGAGCCAAAGCCTCCAGGTCTCATTTTGCCAGACCTGCTCTGAGAGCAGCAGCACTGAAGGTGGAGGATGGGGTCTGATAATAACAGGACACTTGGGGTAATGGTGTGGTGGGGTAAGTGGAAAGGCTTGAGGTGTGGTTAGTGTTTGAAATGGTTTGTTTTGATTTTTGTATCGTAACGGGTTAAAGCCACTGCCACATGCAAATAACTCATGAAGAATTTCACTTGACATGGCTGGGGCTTCAGAACTAACCAGAAAAAATGTCCTGTGGCAAAAAATGCAGCATTTCAGTCTTTCTCAAGATGAAAGTGAGTCGGTCTTTGTAACAAACCACTCTGCTAACCACGAGCATAAATCTCTGGGAGAGGCCAGTACCAAGCTTCCAAGAAAAACTGAAACTGAATTGGTTTGCATAGAAATGACCACTGAACTACTTGAAGTACATATTTGCAAGCATATCACTTCTTTAATGTTTTTGCTATATGGACCAGGATGTTTTTTTCTTTAAATATTTGCTGCTACATTATTACAGTGCACGAGTCACAGTAACTTTCAAGGCAAAATTAATTATTGACTTAGAGTAATGAGACTGCAAAAAGCTGTTGTATATTTATGCTTCCACTGTTCTGTATTGTAATTTATACTGTATCCTGTGTATAACTGGGTATTACTGGGGGATAAGGACTTGGAAAAATCATTGAAATTTTCCCTGTTGCATCTGGGTTCTTCAGTACAGGCAGCTGGGTTTTAAAACTTGTCGTCTCTGCTGCTCTGTTGTAAATACAGACAAACTGGACTGTTCCTGAGCTGCAGGTTTGTGGTGTTTCACCTGACCCTTTGGGAGTTGTGTGCCTGTTGAGAACTGAACTCCAGTGATGAAGCATGTCTGCTCCTCCATATGTGTCTTAATTTTTGGTACCTTAATACCTTTTTCTTGATGGGATGGTGTGTCACTTGTGCAGTCTGGTTCTCTCTGGAGTAGCATGTTTCTGACTCAGAGCTGGCAGCACAAGGTGGCCCTGAGCTCCTGCTGCAGGCAGGGGTGATTTAACAAGGAAAGCAGGTTATATTTTGGAGCAGGGTTTTGCACATCTCCTGTTTGGTTGGTTCTGGCAGGTACAGCTACCTGGATAGAAGGAGGTTAGTGTAATAGATTGTCCCAAAATGTTACCACTACATCTAAAGTACCTGATTCTCTCTTCAGATGCAACATCCAGATGACAGTGCAATCAGCTTTAGTGCTGGTTACAGGCTTTTAAACCTTCATGGTACTATTGTAAGAGCCTTGCCCCTGTACAGTCTTAATCTGCAGTGAATGAAGTGGGGTGTCTACACATCAGGTACAACTTGCTTCTTAACTCTGGCTAAAGTTTCTCAGATCTCTAGATCTCCTTTCTCTCCAAAGATATCAACAGCTTTTCCAAGTTTCTTTTGCCTCCATTATGAGTAGCTGACACTGATGGGTGGTTATTTGCTGAAATTGAAATTACTGTGAGGAAAAATGATGCTTCATATTGAAAAAAAGAAAAAGAAAAAAGCTTAGTTATACTAAACTATTAATGATACCAAATGAAACAATCTTGGCTAACAGGAGTGCAAGGTGTCTGGCCCCTTATTTAGACAAATTAATATAAACCTTCCTGCTGCCTGCAATTAGCTCCTTCATAAAATAAGCAACTTGTGCCTCCAGTCACAAGCTCAAGCTAATCAAGTGGCAGATTTTCAATAGTGTGACAGTGACTGCCTGCCTTCCCTTGCCCAGTAATTATCAAAAAGAAGGGCAGTTCACTCATTGCTTGCTCGCTAATTCATTTATTAGGTGTGAAATAATTACAGCAGTCAGCACCGTGCTGTTTGACCACAGACATTGTTTTCCACCATAATTAGGGGCTGCTGTGTCCATCCCTTGTGCAGGTATTCCCAGGGGTGTCTGGGGTCTGCAGGGCACAGGGAGCCAGTTCTTGTTTTTGCATCCTGAAATCCAGAAGCACTTGAGCATTGTCTGACTTGAGGCAACAGCCTTGCCTGGCTGCTATCAAGGGGACTTCTCAAGTGGTTTGGAGTAGCTGGCTGACACAAGGGCTGCTGCTCCTGAAATGCTATATTGGGAAAAAGCAGTTTATTGTTAGCCTGGGTTTCCACCACAGCCCCTGAGCACTTTGCTAGAGAGGATTTATGTTTTTTTCCTCTAGTTGAAAGAGAATGCCACAAGTAAAAGGCCACAGTGTGAAACTTAAAGCAACCAGCATTTCAAATGCAGTACCAGGTTGTTGTAAAAGCATTTTTCAGTGATGTTTGTCTTGCTAAGCAAGTGAGTTCCCTCTCTGCAATGCAGCCAGTGTGGCTTTTGGCCTATAAAAACAAGGAATCAACCTTTACAGTGATAATTGCAGCAGAGCTCACTGAAGTCTGACACTGCTTCTTGCTTGCTCCTTCCAGCAAGAAAAGCAGCAGGCCTTGGTGGCCAGCAGGTGTTCTGAACCCAACACCTTCATATCATGGGAAATCACCCAGTGTTTTGCACATAGATACCCTCGATAAAGGGATTGCACAACAAGGATCATCTCACTCACATATCCCAGTCATTAAAATGACTCATTGTTGCATTCAGCAGCATCTCAGAGATTACATTGCCAGCCCAAGCCCAGTGTCCTTGCAATCTGTATCCAAGGTTACAGTATTTCCTACAGTGCATTGTCACAGACCATGTTTCCCTGCTTCCTTTGCATACAGGCTAATATGGACATGCTGCCTTTTGCTTTGGTTGTGATGAATTCCATAAATCTAACTCCTTTTCCTGCATGTGTTGTGTTGCTAGAAAAAAGTGAGGAACACAGATTTTTCATTTAATGGACGTTTTCTCTGGATCTGCCCTGGGATTACCCATGGAAAGTGGTTTTTCTATATATTTGTGTATATCTGGATTTTAAGAGATTAATCACTGGGTTATTTAATGTATATATCCCTTTGTTCCACTGTATTCCTGATGCTCTTGTGCTGTCTTTGTGTGTTGCAGTTTTCCTGTGGTGGTAGGAAGGCTGGGGAGCAATTGGGCATCTCCAACCTGTTCCCTTGCCCACCCCTTGCCATGGTTTGGTTTAAGAATCCCCCCAAACTTTCTGACCCACGTTGGCTTGGAGGTTTATTTGTGGCATGGGAATTGTTAACGTTCTGCACTTGACCATTCCACTGACTTTTCTTCTCTGGCAGCAGCTTCTCTTCACCTGGGTTTGTTTTGAGCAGCTCCTTCCCTGAAATTCATGCAGTATATATGAAGTGATAGTGACCTTCAGCCTAAGGTTGAGAAGAAGCTCCTGCAAACCCAAGGAGGGCTTCAGTTTCTAGGTAGCACCATGTCAGACTAATTGAAACAAAACCCACCTTTTCAGTAAAAGCTGCTGTTGCATTAACTACTTGCTCTGAAATATTTTTTCCCTGGATCTGTATTTAATTCCAACTCTCAGTCTGAAAGTATAAATGTCATAATTTTATGAAGAAAAGTAGTCAGAAAACTTCTCTCTATATTGTGATTCTTTATTCTGCCCTCTGGGCAAACATGATTTCTCTTCTGGAGTGGTTTTGTGATTAGTAGTTGGAGCTGTTTCATTTTGTGCTATCCTGGAGTCCCTGCTGGTATTTTAAATCCAGTGAGAATAAGTGTTATTAATTTACTTTAGTACATTGTTGACTCCCTTAATTCTTGCAGTGATTTATAAATCCTTTGTCGAGATTCAAACCTTGTATTCAATAAACAGCTCATTTCATATCTGACCAACCTGTGAAGTGGCTTATTCAGCTAGAAGAAAAAAAATGTTGCTTTTGCTGCTTGCAGGTACCCAAAGGTTGTCACCTCTGGGGAAGGCTCCATGGGTGCTGGCCTGGGAGCTCCTCCTTGGAAACACACAGACAGGGAGGAACCTCTTGTGACCCAGGAGAAGCCTTGAAAGGTTGACAAAAAGGTCCTTGAGCATAAGGAGGCTGCGTAAGTGAAACCTCCTTTGTGGTTGATATTTGAAAGGTGTCTCAGCAAATGACACACAGAATATTCTTCAAGCAATTAAGATATCGACCATTTGGAAAAGCCTGTGGGGAGCAGGAAGAATGATCTTCCCCTCAAATCCAACTGGTTTGCTTCCAGCAACCTGGAGTTACATTGTGGCTCCATCTCTTTGGTTTCTATAGATTTGAGGATGCATGGAAAACTGGATTTTGAGGGGGGGAAAAAACACTTTCAAGTATCTTTCGTTGGAATGAACACAAAAGGAACTTCTGCAAAGAAATACCTGCAGGTATTAATACCATTGCATTAATATAATCTCAAATGGGTATTTCAGGTGAATTCTTTATTTAATAATGTGCTTTATTAGGCAATTACATTTTTTATAGGTCTAACTTTCCTTTTTGTTCAAAAGTCAGTCTTGATTCCTTCTTGGCTAAACATAAGCACTTCCTCCTCCCCTAGGTACTGGGGCAGTGTGTGTATGAAGTACAGATAATTATTCCAAATGGAAAAATTTTACCATCCAATTTTTATAATAAAAATACTGTTCAATCATACATAGTCCATTTTTTAGGTAAAGTTCCATTTTGAAAGCAGATTTCAATTGTTAGTATTTTTTTCCTCTTTGAAATGTCATCCTTCCAGAATGCCTTCAGACTAATGATTAGTCTTGATTTTTAATCCCTAGTTCCTTTCTTTCCTCACCATTTCCCTGGTTGCAGTTTAACTCGTGATAAAAGTAGATTAGTAGAATGTGGGTTTGTGTGGGGTTTTTTTCAGCCTCCTGTGTCTCTTTGTCACTGAAACCAGGGGACAACCATGAAACATGAACTTGCATGATGGCAGAACTCATTTTTATTGCACTGAGCCAAAACCTCATTCCTG